ATCAATAATGTAGAAGTTGCATAAAAGTACAGTGTGTGTCAATCTGATGCGCAAATATGTGCTATTTTCTGATATTAATTGCGAAGCGAGCGGAGTATATACCGCAACAACAGGCACTTTCACGTTGTGCGTACGTGCAGAATTATTCTGGCTTAACTACGAAGCGTGGAAGGTTGTCTGATAGACCAAAAGACTCCTCTATACGCGGAGGTTTTGGGCAAAATCGGAAAACTCGATTCTGCGAACAGCTCGAAGAGATATGCACGAAGAACTTTAATGACGGAGAAATGTCCTACCCGGGGATCGAAACGGGGACCTATGTCAAATTCATTGATGGAGTCCATGGACGTGGACTCAGTGAGCTCCGCCCCTTCGCCACGAAGGGCAAGTTTATCCTCCACAATAACACACATTAGCATATCAAATCCACACATACTGTATAAAGACTAACGCAATAGGAATATATAACATCGGTTCAGACGAACGAAAGACAAACGACTGAGAAACCAACAATAATATCTTCAATGCATTCGGAAAGGTAATAAACTGTCTATCACCACCTAGCATAGAGAATATAAGGAATATAATAAAGAGTTTCACCCGCGATATGACAAAGACCAGTGAGAATAATTTCACGACTACTGCATATCGCCAATATTGCATTTAACAGAGAAATACGCCACTTCACGTAAAACGGCTGAAACTCCATAATATTAACGACCATATGCACCATGCAAATCACACAAAAAAACTGACAAGAACAAACACGTGATTCACATATATCCCCAACTCCTCCTCCATAACACAACAGACATATAAAGTCATTTAACCATGATAATAACATGTGCTCAAAAATCAACAGTAAACCCAACCCGCTGAGAAGAACTAACAAAGACCAGCATGACTATTCCCAACACAATACTGCCCACAGAAAGTATTCGTCACTCTGTAGTATAACTCATGCATTGCGTGCTTACAGCAGCATACGAAACTAATTGAATCGGGCAAGCGATCATATACGACGATAATAATCACGGGGCTTCATTTTACAAACGAATAAGCGTCCAACAACTGGCATTCCTCAGGACGATAGTCTCTAAAATCATAGACAATTTCTTGCGTGATAAATCAGTATTGTACACGAGATGAAACTCTCCAGCTTTAATCTTCATCCGAGCACCATACGGGACACACTACGGAACCTGAAAACAACAACAAATAAAATCAAGACCAATATTTGCCCTCAATATCGAATTCAGTTGACCAATTAAACTCAATTTCCTCTATCACGAACGATGCTCACATCACGACCTACAGTATTCTCCCACACCCCACTCACTTGGAGAGCTGAAACTTCTTCTTCACAGCCCTGAGTTGCGTCCCCGAATGGTCCTCATTGGTAGCTACTTGCAATAATGCACATAGTTCCTTCGCCACCACCTTCACGTCGTGCTCAGTGTTAGGACAATGCACGGCCACATGTGGTGGCCACGCTGTCGGCTTCCTCAACAACTTGTTGGATAAATACAAGGCGCCTGCCGCTAACTGACTTGCGGAATACCTCAACATACTATACCTGATCAAAATAGAAATAAATGATAATGTCGAAATTATATAATATCATATCAAAAGAAGATAGAGGTAAACATTATATAAATATTTCCTGGTTAAATAGATATATAATATGAAATAATGGAGTTTCACCCGTGACGTGAAAAAAAGTACAAACATATTTCACAAGCCGCTGCATACCGCCAATATCGGACTTTTCACCGAGTACTACGCCACTTCACGTGAAACAGGTGAAACAGGTGAAACTCCAGTACATACAGTGAAACGTACACTAATGTAGCCATACAATATGAAACAGAGACAAACCCACTTACTCTGGCAATGCAAGCTCCAGACAATACTGGGATAAGAAGAAGTGCTTCTCATCGGCTTCCATGACCTTAGCATACCGCAACAGGAAGAACATCGGCGACGGGGTAGTCATGCAGAACCTGAAGCAAATACCAATACAACACTAAAAGAGGGAAGAGACACTTACCCAAGCGTGTTGAGAATGTCAACTTCCATCTCCATCACTTCGTGACGTTGATAAGTCCTGTCGCATATACTGACAATGTCCTTCATCTCGGGAGGATATATATCTTCATATCTGACAGAAACACCGTCTTCTTCTCATACCACTCCTCAACCAACTTCGACTCACTTAGAAGCAATCAATAAACAAGTAACACCAACCAACTGCAGTCGTGTACGTGGAAGATTAGGACACTGCTCAAGGTAGCGATCAATCAAGTTAACCTGAAAACACACAAAATCATCAACCAAGGGAGCATCATCGATAGCTACCGTTAAGTAGAGCGTCTCAGGAACCAACTTGAACTTCCAATGGACCTCAACTAACCAATCGATCAGAACTGCACGCATACGCTGAGTGATATCATTCTGGGTTCTCTGCATGTAGTCGCTGGACTGTCTGTATCTGAACGAACGGAGAAGATACTTTCCTCACTGTGGAACGATAGAGTCGTCCTACTTTTGTTCAACGCCGTTCATATTGACAAAGATAGGGTTGACATATTCCGCCACGAACTGAGGGTCGCCGAGATCCTGAAAATCGTCCCTCACTGGAGGGATGAACTCCTGAGTGAACGTCACTTGACGATCCTCTGGGGGAATGGTGTCCTTCCAGTCAATCACTGGGCTCATGGACTCCATTCTAGCCGGTGTGGTGCCCTGCATGATAGTATCATCAAGATCGTCCCCTAATCGTGCCTTGCCTCGCGAGGCCGCGCCTGTTGTCATCCTGCAAAACCAACCAGAATCACCACCAAGACGAGACTCACCCGTGTGAGCAGGCAGAAAGTTCGAAGTGTTGCTGAGGTCCATGAACACCTCCCGTTTACGGGTTTCCATCACAGCATGACCCTCCTTCCCAATAGGGACGTTTTCAGACCGCTGAGAGTGCTGTGAACGGTTGCTAGTGAGCATAGTAGATAGAAGTTGTTTGTTAGAGTCGATATCGACCACTGTTGCAAATCGCGCTCGCCCTCAAAAATCGATCATTCTTGCAAAGTGCATGTATGATGCAGAATGTCGTCAACAAACACTACGTTCCTTAATGTAATTAATTACCCCATACTACCTTACGATTATTTAAGGGACAGTTTCACAATCCTATCGCATTCCTCGGACGTGAGGAAGTCGTCGAATATCATCAACAACGGCTCGGTCAAGGGGGAGAACGGCTCGAGGGAAGACGATCTCATCAGAAACACAACTAAATCAATGCATATACAATGTAACAATGACTATGAACATGTGTTGTGAATCACAACTTGTGATCAGAATACCCGTTTGGGACAGTGATAGCGACAACTATAACCTCCACAATCACACACATTTGCATATCAAATCCACACATTTTGTATAAAGGCTAACGCAATAGGAATATACAATATCGGTTCAGACGAACGAAAGATAAACGATTGAGAAACCAATAATAATATTCTCTATGGATTCTGAAAGGTAATAAACTGTCTATCACCGCATAACATAGAGAATATAAGGAATATAATGAGTTTCACCCGTGATATGAAAAAGACCAGTGAAAATAATTTCACGACTACTTCATATCGCCAATATTGCGTTTTCACAGAGAAGCACGCCACTGCACATAAAACGAATGAAACTCCTGCTTTAAGGAAAAGCGTTGCTTCTCCGCGGTTGAAACCGTGCCGGAGAGCTGTCTTTCAGCGAAGCCTGGTTTAGGACAGCGACTGACACAATCGCTACCGGCACAAGGAGACAACCTGAGTCCTCCAAGCTGCCAAGCTAGTCACACAAGCTAGACTGTCTTGACAACCTGGAGTAGTGTATGTGTTAAGCGTGATATTTAACCGAGGTCCCCGACGTAGGTCCTAGGGGCACTTCAGGTAACAAGCTTGAGTGGCTTACGACAGAAGCTTACTATTCTAAGAGTCCTTAGTGTACCTTGCGTGTCATCCTCCGCAGTGCCCAAATGGCAGTCGAGAGTCGACACGCGCTCTACCACAATCCGGAGGCTGGAGGTTTCAATAATATAAACGACCATATGCACCATGCAAATCACACAAAAAAACTGACAATAACAAACACGTCGTTCACATATATCCCCAACTCCTCCTCCATAACACAACAGACATATAAAGTCATTTAACCATGATAATAACATGTGCTCAAAAATCAACAGTAAACCCAACTCACTGAGAAGAACTAACAAAAACCAGCATGACTACTTCCAACACAATACTGCCCACAGAAAGTATTCGTCACTCTGTAGTATAACTCATGCATTGCGTGCTTACAGCAGCATACGAAACTAATTGAATCGGGCAAGCGATCATATACGACGATAATAATCACGGGGCTTCATTTTACAAACGAATAAGCGTCCAACAACTGGCATTCCTCAGGACGATAGTCTCTAAAATCATAGACAATTTCTTGCGTGATAAATCAGTATTGTACACGAGATGAAACTCTCCAGCTTTAATCTTCATCCGAGCACCATACGGGACACACTACGGAACCTGAAAACAACAACAAATAAAATCAAGACCATTTGCCAAGTAAACTCAATTTCCTCTATCACGAACGATGCTCACATCACGACCTACAGTATTCTCCCACACCCCACTCACTTGGAGAGCTGAAACTTCTTCTTCACAGCCCTGAGTTGCGTCCCCGAATGGTCCTCATTGGTAGCTACTTGCAATAATGCACATAGTTCCTTCGCCACCACCTTCACGTCGTGCTCAGTGTTAGGACAATGCACGGCCACATGTGGTGGCCACGCTGTCGGCTTCCTCAACAACTTGTTGGATAAATACAAGGCGCCTGCCGCTAACTGACTTGCGGAATACCTCAACATACTATACCTGATCAAAATAGAAATAAATGATAATGTCGAAATTATATAATA